ACCGCACACACATACCATATACACATGCATCACACACCACACACACACCCCTCGCGAAGCCTTGCCCGCTTCCCCCAGCTCAGGGAGCTGCTTCTGTCACACATTCCCATCTCAGACACACTTTATGGAGTGACCATAGCGCTGAAGCCACGGCAGGGTCCAGGCAGGGGTGGAGGTTCTGGACAGGCCAGCTCCCAGGGGACTAAATGACTGTCAGGACAGCTTGCCAGGGAGCCCAGTATAGCTTCCCAGGCTACGAGACATACTTCTAAGTCTTCTCTGTTCATGTTCTGTGGTTTTAAAGTACATGCTTTTAAAATATACACCTCAAACCCAGCTCCAGCAAAAAACTGCAAAAAAAAAAAGAGATGTTTTGGGTGGTGCCTGTGGCTCAAAGGAGTAGAGCACTGGCCCCATATGCCAGAAGTGGTGGGTTCAAACTCAGCCCTGGCCAAAAACTACAAAAAAAAAAAAAAATATATATATATATATATATACACACACACACACACACACACACATATACATATACATACCTCACTCCAAACAGGTAACGAGTGCACATAGTGCAACATACAGCAGGTGCAAACCCCGCAACATCCCACACCCTGGGCGGGGCCACGCAGGTGCCTCCTGCCTGGACCTCTCCTCCCACATCAGCTTCTCAGCCCACCTCACTCTCAGGCTTCTTAGCACCTGTGGGAAGCAGAATGTCCATGTCCCAATCCTCAGAACCTGTGCCTTGTTGCCATGTTATAAGGCAGGGCAGAGGGATCTTTGTGATGTGATTACATGGGGGAAAGGACCCAGATCGCCAGGTGTGATCAGATACCCCCTGACAGCAGAGACTTGGGCAGCTTATCCCTAGAGGCAGAGCCCTGAAGCAAGAGGGGACCTCTCTGAAGGTGGAGGAAGGGGCCAGCAGTCAGAGGACATGGCAGACCCTGGAAGCTGCAAACAGCTTCTCATTAACCACCAGCAAGGGTGTGAGACCTCAGCTGACAGCTCAGGGGACTGGATTTCAACAAGAGCCTAAGTGAGCCAGAGGCAGAGACTTCCTAGAGCCTCCAATAAGAGCCCTGCTCGTTTCAGCCCTGTGAGACCCTGAGCAGAGAGACCCAGCACGCCCAGTGTGCTCGAACCCACAGAATGGAGGTAATAATAGTGTGGTGTGAGCAGCTTGTTGTAACCTGTGACAGGTGCTCTCGGATCCGCAGAATGGAGGTAATAACAGAGCCACACGAGCTTGTTGTTGTAACTTGCGATGGCCACAAGGGGCTGATACGGCGCCTCCCCACCCGGCTTTGCAACAACACATATGCCAGCGCCCCCTTGGTGCAAATGCAAGTTAACTCAGTCCTTTGGTATTAAGAAGGCCTTGCACTAATTCCTTGCGCATTGCCCGCGTGTGGTCGTGGGCACACATTTTTTTACGGTGTGCATGATTGCTTGTTCAGTTTTTGTAATAATAGTTTTCATCAGCATAGAGACAAGTGTTTATATTCTTCTACTTTTTGTTATGAAAAATGTCAAACACAGGAAGTTGAGAGACGAGTGTGCACCTATACACACACCATCTAGATTCAATACTTATTAAAGGAAAATCCCACCTTGTAAATTTGGAGGTGATCAACGTCTAAGGCACACCAACACACCGGGAAGGACTATCCTGGTGGGGCTGGATAGTGATGAGGTGGGGTAGAGTGGAGTGAAGATGGATCGTGGTCCCCTAGAACCCACAGCTGGGCCAGGTGAGGTGGAAGGAGGGGGAATCCCCTCCCCGGCCCAGGCAGGCAGCCCCCCTGTGTGCGCTGGTTCTGCTCTGGGACGCTCTCCCACGAGAACGCGAAGGAGAGGTTTGCTCCCAGCCTCCCTGCAGCCCAGAGTGGAGTCTTGTGGGGGCGTGTCTCTTGGCAACTTCACGAATTGAGGGTGACATGTCAAGGCTTGGGGAATATGATAAATGCTCATAATTTTCTTTCTTGGCAGGAGCTGCAGCTCCCACGGTGGATCGACACATAGCATGGAGAGGTCCCAAGTCCATATCACACTTCCAAAAACAGATTCAGCCTAGCACAGTGGCTTACACTTGTGATCCCCGCACTCTGGAAGGGGGAGGCAAGAGGAACCCTTGAGCTCAGGAGTTTAAGACTAACCTGAGCAAGAGTGAGACACCATCTCTACTGAAAATAGAAAAATTAGCCAGGCATGGTGGCAGGTGCCTGTAGTCCCAGCTACATAGGAGGCTCAGGCAGGAGGATTGCTTGAGCCCAAGAGATTGAGGCTGTTGTGAGCTATGATGCCGCCACACTGCATCCTGAGCAACAGAGACCCTGTCTCAAAAAAGAAAAAAAATCCTGAGAATTCAGGGAACGGGAAGGGGGTCTCTTCCCCTGGGAGGGCAGCCAGTATGAACCCTCTGCCACAGAGCCCGGGCAGAGACCTATAAACAATCCCACTTCAGTCCAAGGGAACAAAGAGGCCTTTTGGATTTTGTTGTCAACCACAACCAGATGCAAAAACCATGTGGAAAAGCTTCTATCCACCACACTCAGACCATGATGCCTTGGCCCAAGAGACCAGCTGTGAGTCCCAGCTGGAATGGCTGACAGAGTTGGAAGCCACATTTGCTGCACGAAGCTGAGGGGTTTAGGGGTATTTGATGGATGCTGTGATCAGCATGCGATTGTCAGGGCCCATCTTGGAAGCCCAGGCCCCAGGCAAGGCCATTGATGACCCCAGGTTCCTGAGCTCATCTGGCATTTGCTATCTGCAGCCCATGCCCACCAGCAGTGCCTCTGTCCTGTGGGTTGGACAGGAGGCAACAGGGGAGACTTCCTGTTGGCTGACCTGTCCTGGTATCTGCTCCTCTAGGAAGAAGCAGGAGTGCAGTTAGCATGTAAGCTGATCTGGAGGAGCAGAGTCTAGGATCGGTGGGAACCAGATCAAGCCCAGGCCCCTTGGGACTCCTCTGGAGGTCTTGGCACCCTCCAGTCATTCCCTGGCCCCTGGGCCCCTGAGCCAGCCAGCCAGCCAGGGTCTGTTCTTCTCTCCAGCCCAGACCCTGACAATCAGACATAGAAGAGCACACTGGAAAGACTGCGCCCTTCAGCATGTTCATGTGCCAGGGGCCTTCAATGCAGCAACTGCCCCCATGGGAGAACATGATCAAAGCCTGCCCTGCTGGCCACCCAGACCAGGGCCTCCTCAGCCAGGAGGTGCTGCTCTCGACAGGTGCTGGTGGGGACCAAGCACCCAGAGGAGAGTCAGGAGTCACATCCAGTAGCCCAGATGTGGCAGATGTCATGTAGCTTCTGGGGATTGGTTCCAGGCTGTGTCCCTCATGAGGAACCTTGGGCAGATTCCTTAAGGTAAGATTCCTTACCCTGTACCTCTCCTTCTCTCAAAATAGGCATGACAGTGGCACCAGCCTCAGAAGGGAGGGGAATGAAATGGGGTGAACGGTTATTTCAGGACAAACGCCCAGCAGGGGGCCTGGCGCACAGCATGCCTGCCCAGGTCCCCACTATAGCAAGTGGCCTGCCCCCGCTGGGACAAGCCCAGCACATCTCAGTGTAGGCACGGACCAAGCTGGAATTCAGGACCCCAAGTTTCCTCTCCTGGGGCTCTTGCCTTGTTCTTTTTGCCATCTTTTCTCAATAAGTAGGCAACTCTTTCCAATCACAAATAACATATCATACATTAGACTTTTCTCATTTAGTTTTTTTGAATAGGCAACCTATTCTTGTGTTTCCAAAACCACCTAGTAGGAAAGGGCCCACAGAAAAGGGCCCCTGCCCAGACCACCTGCCCAGCCCCAACCCAGGGCACTACCTGTCTCTCACCCTCCACTACTGATGGACAGATAGAAAAGCAGGTCAATACTAGCTACATAGGTTGATTTCTTGTCAAAGCACTATTTATTTTTTATCTATTTTCTTTTGATTCTTTCTTTCTCCCAGGGCTGATGGCTCTGTGGCCTCTGCCTTACCACTCAGGTACACACACACACACACACACACACTCTCTCTCACGTCCCCCATCAGATATTTAACCTTCGCTTTTGAAGGATGTTGTTTCTCCCCTCACCTCTGCCAGGGCCTTCTCACTCCACCTGCCCTTCTGTAGCCCCATAAGATCCACCCGCCCAACCCCTTCCCTGTGCAGCACCTCTCACTCTCCCACGGGTCTCAGCATGCTACTCTCCTTACTCTGTGCCACTTAAATCTGACCCTGAGCACCCACTGCAAGGTAAAGCGGAAACATCTTTTTTATTGGGGGAAGCCCCCATTTATCCCCCACCACTCCTAGGGCCACCAAGAGACCTGAAGGTCTTGATGGTCCAGAACGTCCAGGGAAGTCTCTCTGGGTTTAACCAGCCCCTTCTAACATCCACCTTCAAGGTCTCAGAGTGGGGACACTTCCTGGTGGCTGGGATTAGGGCTTTATGTGCTGAGATGTAAACTAAAAGTCAGGCTCCTGATGCACCTGTGGCTGTCTTGCCCCAGGGAAGCATCTCTCTCTTCCTCCTTTGCAGTAAGGTCTGGGGTCTCTCTCCCTGTGAGAGTCTGATCCCCCAGACCATGGGCCCCATAAGGAGAGAGAGCAGGTCCAGCTCTCCACCCCGACTCTAGGCATGCAGTAGACTCCCAGTCAGCAACAGCTGAGCACTGCTTGAGCCTGCATCCTTCCTGGCCAGCCTCACATTCACCCCCCTTGCCTTCATGATCAGGGTGGAAGAAATGGCCCACACCAGAGGAATTTGTTCCCAGCAGCTCTCTCCTCATGGGCTAGAAGGGATTTCCCTTCAGCCTAGAACCTCCTGATCTTCTCAGACCTACATACAAACTCTACCCTCACATACAATCTCTCTACCCAGTTGAATTTCATGTTTCAACCTTTCCACCAACTTATTTGGAAGCTGTTGGCCCTGAATGATGCCCCTAGACAGCCCAATCATGCAGGCAGGGTCACAGACACAATCAAGCATGAGGCATTGCTGCAGCCTTGTACATGAAGATGGGGGTGCTGTAGAATCCCCCCTGGATACTCAGCTCCTCATGGGTTCCAGATTCCTGAATACTGCCAATGTCTGGCTCCAGCTGTGCTCAGGTATGTGTCAAACAGGGAAGTCAGAAGAGTCACTGGGCAGTAGGCAGTCCTGGAGTCTGACAGCAGCGTCCAGCCCCATCCTGGCACCTGGCATGGAGACGGCAGCAGGGGAGTTTGTTCCACATGTACCTGGTGAAGCGATTATTGGGAGATTTCAGGTAAAAAAGAAATGGAGATGGAAGCTTTCTTTTGCCAAGTAATCCAGCCTGTCCATGTCGAGTCTCACTAGCAGGTACGTGTTCCAGAACATGTCTGTGATGAAAGGAACCACATGTCTCTGGACCGCAGCAGCTGGTGGAGCAGGACCCAGGGAGCAGTGGCCACATAGCAGACATGCAAGTAACACGAAGAGGATGGGCCCACACTCCAGGAATCTCCAGAGCACTGGGCTCAGGGGACCCCCAGCCACAGGAGAAGATGTTGATCACCACGAGAGAGGCACCCTGGGGGACCAAGGCAAAGAGGGGAAGGAGGCTCTCCAGACCAAAAAGTTCACCTGGCGGGACCCCAAGCTGCAGGGAACAGTGGGGGGATGAGTGATGGTAAGGGCACGTACTGCACATAGACCCTGTGCTAAGCGCTTGTGGGTCGTGGGTCACCTGGCTGAGGCAGGTGCCAGCTGTGGGTCAGGCAGAGGAGCAGAGCACAGGCTCAGCTAGAGTCCAGTGTCCAGCCACGTCATGGCCTCACAGACAGCTGGTGGTGCCGGGCTACAAGGCCAGCAGCTGCTTTCACAGGTGGGGAAGCCAAGGCCCAGGCCCAGGGGCCAGCTCTGAAACCACTCTGCTGGGCCAGCAGGTAAAGCTGACCAGGAATGCATAGGCTAGGGCCTGTTCTCACCAGGGTCAGCCCTGACTGGTTCCTTCAAGTCCAATTCCGCGGAGAACTCACCCTTTCCAATACCCTAGGGGGAACAGGCTGTTGTCCGCGCACAGAAGATGCACTGAATCCTAGAGGTTCAGAGCCTCGCCCAGGCCAAAAAGCTACGAGGTTACAGACCCAGAAGCCTGACCCCGACCCAGAGTCTATACCGTCCCGCTCCGGAGGATCAGGCAAGCCTGGGCTGAGAGGGAAGGGGCGGGGAGAGCTGCGGGGGCGGGGCGAGATGGAGCCTGAGGTTTTGATTGGATGCTTCCTTGAGCTCGTCAGGAGACTGCAGTCTGGCCCCGCCCAGACTTCCCCACCAGCCCACTCAGCACACCCCAGGCTGCGCTCGGACCCCGCCCGACGCCGTCCAGCCCCGCCCAAGCCCCCCAGGGAGGGAGGCGGTAACGGCTGGTCTGACCTCAAGCCCCTCAGCTTCTGGGGTGGCTTGAGCCCCTCGGTTAGGCGCCCAATCCGGAAGCCTGCCCAGGGGCAATTTAAGGGGGTTAGAGCCCCAAGCCAGCAGGAACTGTCAGTTTCCTGCTTTTCTTTTGTTTTTGAGATGTAATTTCCTTATCAAAAAAATTCACCTATTTAAAGTGTACAGTTTTTTTTTTCTAATTCGGAGTTGCGCCACTATGGCCACAATCTAATTTTAGAACATTTTCAACACCTTGTGAGGCACCTTTCAATCCAGTACCCAGTACCCACCAGCAGCCTCTCCTCTGTTCCGTCCCTGGCGACCACAAATCTGCTTTTTTTCCTACGGATTCGCCTATTCTGTACATTTGATATAAATTGAATCTTACATTACGTATGTTTTTTGTGTCCGGATTCCTTGACTTAGCACAATGATTTCGACACTCAGCGCGCGCTGGCGCTTCACTTCTCTTAAGGCCAAATAACATTCCACTGCATGGATAGACCAACCTTATGCGCTCGTCATCGGCTCGTCATCAGATATTGAGGCTGTTGCCAACTTTTGGCAATTATGAAAAGTACTGCTGTGGACACTGGGGTCCACGTTTTGCGTGGACGTGGCTTATTGTTCTTGGCAGATACCGACCAGCGGTATCTGGCCAGTACCGGTCAAAGGGTAACTAATCGCTGGGTCGTTTCAAGAACCATTTTGCTTACTCGCCGACACCGGCTATGGGTGCTGCGGTTTCTCCGCGTCGTCTCACACCTGCCATCGACTGCAGCGCAGAGGGTGAGGCTCTTCCCTAGGACTGGGGATGTCGAGCACCTCGATGGCCAACTATATAGCTTCTTTGGAGGGAATTTTTTAATTGAATTGTTAGTATTTTTATTATTGAGTTGTAAGGGTTATTTATATATTCCGGATACGGGTTCTTTATCAGATAAACGATTTGCTAATATTTTTCTCTATTCTGTGAGCTGTCTTTTCACTTTTGGATGGTGTCCTTTGACACACAAAATATTTTTCTTTCGAAGCAGTGTTCTTTTTCTTACTGGACTGTTTAAAAAAAACGTTTTAAGAGCTTCCGCGTACTCTCGCGCGCCAGACCGGGCAGGACGCAGTCAGCTGCACGCTGGGATACAGGGACTGAACTGCACAGACTGATCCGACCGCCAGGGGGCGCGGCGGGGTCAACTGCGCCTGCGTCGGAGAGGAAGCGTGCGCCCGAGCGCGAGCACGAGCGCAAGCGAGGTGGAGCGCGCGCCTGCTCCGACTGCGCCTGCGCGGAGCTCGTGGCCGCGCCTGCTCCCGCCGGGGGCTCGTCGCTTGCCGGGCAGTGGCCATGGGGGAGGCCGAGGTGGGCGGCGGGGGTGCGGCGGGCGACAAGGGCCCAGGGGAGGCGGCCACCAGTCCGGCGGAGGAGACAGTGGTGTGGAGCCCGGAGGTGGAGGTGTGCCTCTTCCACGCCATGCTCGGCCACAAGCCCGTCGGTGAGCGCCCAGGCAGCGGACGCGCGTGGGGGCGGGGCGGGCCGCGGGTAACCGTCGGGGCGGGGGGAAGGGCGGGGCCTGCGCCGGCAACGCCCCGCACCTCGCGGCACCCAGGGCAGACCCGCGCCCTCCGAGACACCCTGCTCCTCCCTACCGCACCCCGGGCAGGCCCTAACCCCTGTGACACTCCAGCCCCTCTTCCCCAGCACTTCAAGAAGACCCCTAACCCCTGTGACACCCTGTTCCCCTCACATCACACCTCGGGCAGCCCCCTACCCTCTGTGACACCTTGGTCCCCCACCCAAGCAGACAGACCCCTACTCCCTGTGACACCCTGCCCCCCGCTGCACCCCGGCCAGACCCGTGCTCGCCGCGACACCCTGCCCCCAGACCCCAGCCACCTGTGACACACCCCCACTGCACCCAGGATGACCCCCACTCCTGCTCCCTGTGACGCCTACACCCAGGGTAGACCTCTGCAACACCCAGCCCTATCCTATACTCCAGGGTAGCCCCCGCCCCTCTCCCTGCAAGACCCTATTCCCTCACCACACATACACCTCCATGGACCCTTTCCCCTGGGACATCACTGGGAGATCCTTGCTTCCCCCTGTAACAACCCCCACCTTAATCCTTCCCACACATATGTCACCCCCACTCCCTCCTACTCCTCCATTGTACACCCCGCTCCCTCTTCCCTCTAGTCCACACTCTGTCCCCTCCTCCCTCCACCCTGGCAGACCCCCTCCCCCAACCCCTCACTACCATTCATTCCCCAGGGCAGACCACTGTTTATTCCTGCCCTCCTTTCCTTCCTCCCTTATCTACTATCCTGGGTCTCTTCCCACAGGGGTGAACCGACACTTCCACATGATTTGTATCCGGGACAAATTCAGCCAGAACATTGGGCGGCAGGTCCCATCCAAGGTTATCTGGGACCATCTGAGCACCATGTATGACATGCAGGCACTGGTGAGCTGGATCCCCTACCCACCCCCTGCCAGTGTTGGGGGCCACTATGGAGATAGCTCACACCCTGCTCTCTGAGGGTCAGCCTGAGCTGGCAGCAGAGTGCCCCCCCCAGGCCTTCTGGGGGTCTGCTGGGCAGAGTCATATGGCACCGGTAGATGACGTCAAAGAGGGACAAGTCATCCCGTAGCAGAAGGCTCCAAAGAGTGTTATGAAAAACATAGGCCTGGTACTAATAGTTGCTTGCCTTTTCAGAGAACCTATTTCAGAATGGGTGGTCAGCAAGAGTCTCTAGGGAATAGCTGCGGCATGGAGATCCCAGGCAGGGGCATGCCCCAGAAAGACAGGTGGTGGGAGGGGGAGTGCAGAGACCAGACCCTTAGGCCACTGTTAGTCTTCTGGGAGGTCTCAGAAGTGCTTTAGTAGAGGATGAGTCGCTTTAAGGCTTCTTGGGAACCCAACAAGTGGAGGCCCGGCTCAGAGTAGGTGATGTCTGAAAGGCAAACAGGTTAACTAGGTAACCAGGTCACTGAAGAGACAGGTGTCAGAGCCCTATGACCATAAGAGGTGGTGGGTCCAGGAGCTCAAAAGTGAGTCACTTGGAAAGTGGGTGGGCTGAAGACCTGTGCAGAGGGATAGAGGGTCTATGCCTATCCTCTGGACTCAGGGCCATACCAGCTATCCTGGCAAGACCTGGATGCAGGCCACTATGGCAGAGAATGCCTTTGGCCTGGGCGAGTGCCTTGGGTCTCTTTACACAGCTGTAGGTATAGGCTGCTGGGTTGTGTATAAGAGCACAGGAAACCTTGCTGGCCATGGATATGCCCTGGAATGAGCCACTGCTGCTGCCCAAGTTGAGGACATTCTGAACTCTGTGTGGAGTTTTTGACAGGTGGCTAGCCCTTGTTGACCCAGATGCACCCATTGCCAAACTCTGTGAATTCCTCCCTGGAGCAGCCTCACTTACCCTTGTGTGTGGCGACAGGGAACTCCTTGGGGTCAACAGCTTGCTTCATCATGTTATGAGGTCCCCATTGGAGGTGAGGGCCCAGTCTCCAGACACTCCCCACATGGGGATGCAGAGTGATCAGTGAGCCCTGTGCCTGTCTTTGGAGAAGACAGACCTCTCTGAGGCTGAGACACACTTTTGGGGCACAGGGCCTGGCTCAGAGTTGGGGGCCTGTGTGATACTCAGGGAACTGGCAGCCCCAGCTCTTCTTCCTCTCTTAACTCCTGTGGCTGCCCTAGCTGGTCTCCACCTGAGGTTAACTTCAAGCAGAAGGGATGGTCTTCAGCCCTTGCCCATGCACCCAGCCTCCAGCACAGTTCTTCACCCGCAGTAGCTGTTCTGAGGGGGCTCTTACACGTTTTCACTGACTTGCTAAAACCTCATTTTCTTATTTGTTTCTTTAAAAAACAAAACACTCTACTGGCCACCAGCACGAGTCTGAGATTCTTCCCTTCCCAAATCCAGAGAGGAACTTCGTCCTTCCAGAAGAGATCATCCAGGAGGTCCGAGAAGGTGAGGCTTGGGCCAAGTTAGGATGGGGAATTAGAAAGGGCTGGACCTGGGTAAAGGGCAGGGAGATCAGGGCATAGGTCATACACAGATCCCACCTTCCCCCACATGGTCTTAGAAGCCTCTGGGATTAGGAAGAACTCTGTTGAGCAGCAGTTGCTGGGGCCTGTGAGGGCAGCAGACATCAGCTCTCAGTAACCTTCAGCTTCTCCACAGGAAAAGTGATTATAGAAGAAGAAATGAAAGAGGAGATGAAGGAAGATGTGGACCCCCACAGCGGGGCTGACGATGGTGAGTGTGGTACCTGCCCTCCCTCCTGCCTTGTGGGGTCTGGCGCCCTACAGTTGAGTGGACAGAAAGCCTGCATTGCGCAGGGTCCAGTTGCAGGTCATCTCAGTGCAGGATAAACACTGTGTTCCCTGTCTAGCAAGAGGGAGTGTGGTGCCGAGTGACAGCTCTAGGTCGTAGGGCAGGGTCTCCTCTGTGGTGCTGTGGCCAACCATGTGGCACGTGGCGCTCTTGTGATAAGGAAGTCCTCAGGATGGGCCCACGGGTATGGGACTCCCAGCTTAGCAGGAGGCCTTCTGGATTCAGAGGGCCACATGGGAATATACAGATTTTTTAACTGAACAGGAAGACAAAATAAGATTCTGGCTATTCTTTTTCCAGCCAAATTATTTTGTTTCTCAGGTTTTTTTTCTTCAGGGAGCTTGGGGAAAACAGCAGAAAAATCTAGCAAAGACAAAGACAAGAACTCCTCAGACTCAGGGTGCAAAGAAGGTGCAGACAAGCGGAAGCGCAGCCGGGTCACGGACAAAGTCCTGACTGCAAACAGCAACCCGTCCAGCCCCAGCGCCGCCAAGCGCCGCCGGACATAGACATCTCGGCCCTACGCAGTCCCTGAGGGGCAGTTGGCAGGGCCTGAGCACCACCCCTTAGTCTGCAGGGACATCGCCTGGTGCACTGCACCCACACTGCCTGCCCTGGCTGTCCAGCAGGGGAGCTTGGCGAGGCTTGCTGTGTCCAGTCAGACCATCCAGGATCCTGGGATCCTGGAAGACCAAAAAGACCAGGCTTGCCCCAGGTCAGCTGTGGAGGCTCCTGTATCTGCATTCTGTCCTTGGGAACACCTGTGGCTTCCCTGTGACCTGGGATAGCTCCACGTGTGCAGCAGCGTCGGGAACAGGAGGAGCCCTGAGATTAGCAAGCAATAAAAACACCGACCTCACTCCCTGTCCTCAGAAGAACCACTAGTCTTCCCCACAGGACTCTGTTCTTCCCAAGTCTTTGTCCCTCTCTGACTCTGCACAGACTATAACATCAGGAGGACGTGGCCTTTGTGCCCCTGCCACGCAAACGCCCACTTGGGAAGCTACGAACCAGACACTTTGCCTCATTCACTTGTACTGTAAGGGTGTATATAATTTGGTTGGTATCTCACTATTTAATTTTTAAGAAGCCTATTTTACTAGTGTTTTATATGAAAACAATACTGGAGAAGTTGAGCCCATGTCATATTTTCCTGAGATGTTTTGTTTTAAGGTAATGACTGAGGTACTTTTTGCTCAGTTTTTATATGCCAGATACAGAGAATTTGTAGCGGTTATTTTTGTATTACCTAGTGACAGCAGACAGGCCAGATAGGTGGGGGGAGGGAAGGTGCCCCCTCAGGCTGGCGAGGGTGCCCAGTGCTGACTGAGATGCGCTTTTGTTTGCAGAACATTAAAGCACAAAATATCAACCTGAACTTGTGTGATGTTGATACCAAAGTAAGTTTCCTCCAGTAGGAAGTTTTATTTTCCCAAGATTTATACCTAAAGCATACACTTAGATATATTGACATTCATTTGATACGATGTATAAATGTAAATAAAATAGTAACAGACTCAGAGTGGTTATTTTGTTGACTATGACAAGGACTCAACTACACACTGTTGTCAGGAGAGCAGAGCAGGGAGAGGCTGCAGCCCCTGGGCACATCCTGAGAATGTCTCCTCTGCCGGATGAGCCTGCCTAGCTGAGCCTGTCCTTGGCTAAGTGAAGCCAGCCAGCCTTCATGCCCTGTGTCTTCATCCTGACACTCCACAGGGGACTGTAGCTTCCCCCACCACCTGGAGAGGGGTCTGGCCATTGGTGGAGTCCCCTCGTAGTGCTGTGATCACAGGGCACAGGCGGAGGCAGCAAAGCCAGGACCTCTGAGTGATGAGAGTGCCCATTGTGGGGTCCAAGGCTGGTTTGGACCAGACCCCTGTCACTTCCAAGGCAGGACAGTTCTGTGCCCTTGAACATATCACTGGCATCTGGCTTCCCCAGAACAGGAAAAGTGCCTTGTGACTGCCCAAGAAGCAGCTGGTGTCCTGGCCTGCCCACTCTCCACTCCAAGGTAAGACCAGCTGCTTGAGGGGGGCCCTGTGTGCTACCTATCTGTAGAGCATCCTGCCACACAGAGGAGGAACCTGGATGGCCCCCACGGCATTAAGCCCAGCCTGCGCTTGCCCCTACAGGCCTCCAGTCTGCAATTAAGCCTTGGAGCTGCTGCTGTCCGAACACGGTAGACACCAACCATGCTCACCCCAAATACTCAGCCCTGCAGTGAGTACTACATGTGTCTACAGGAAGCAGCAAACATCAGCCTTGGGGCAGGGGCTGAGGGGACATGCCCTTTTTCTTGCCCTAGTGTCATGAGCTATGTGTTCTCTGCAGTAAGGTCAGCCCTCAGGGCTTTGTGCCAGTGCCTGCCCTGGGGCTGTGACCTGTAGGGAAGCCTGGCCGAACTAGCATGCGAACCCAGGAGCAAACACCAGCAACTCAGGTGGCCCAGGAGGGGCCTGCTAACCCTCATCTGAAACTACACTTTCAGTGACCTTACACTGTGCTGGAAAAGCCTAGTTACCAATTCTGCCTCATTTCAATTATTTCAACATTTTGCTGCACCTCCAGGAGAAATAGGGGTGCCCTGAGCAATCCCAGCAAGCAGATGAGTGTCCCCAACCCCAGGCATCCCATGCTGCCCACACACCCTGCCCCCATGAGAGGCAGTGTGGTCCAAGTCAGGTACCAGGCAGTTTTCCCAGGCTCCTCAACCCTCAGGGGCTCCTGAGAGCCACCCTGCCCTGTAGGTAGCCTGATGTGCACTCTGCCAGCATGTGGAGTGGCCAGGCCATGTTCACCAGCATCGGCAGTGTGGCCTTGAGTCCTGGTGAAAAATTGTGCTTACCCTCCCCCAGCCTCGCTGTGTAGGTTATAATTCAGGGCCACACACACAGATGAGCCAGCTAAATCTGTATGGAAAGGAAATGGAGCTGGGAATGGGGGTTCATGCTGCAGCCAGTGTAGGACAGAAAGAGGATTTACCTGTGAGAAGCCAACATGGGTGCTGAGACTAGAACCTCAGCAGAGTTCTGTGTACCTACCACTGGGAGCTCAGAGTACCTTCCCTGCAGTGGATGATATTTTCTCCACAGTTGGCATTTGTGGTGGGAACTCAGTAAGGGCCACTCAGGTGAGTGTAGTGTCCACCCTCCCCAGGCTCCTAGGCTAGAGGGAGGGCTCTGCCACTCCCCAAACAACAGTGAAACACACTGAGTGGGGAGGCCTGTTGCAGTGGGAGCAGGATAGGGCTCACTGGGGCCAGATAACAGGGCTTTCACTGGTTTTGCCAGAAGAAAATGTTAAGGTATTTCTAACCTGAGTCCCTCAGCAACACAATCTCCTGCTGGTCACCTCTGCCATGGGCAAGTGGCACCTCTGGGCACATCACCTGCTCATGTGCAAAGCTGACTTCCTTGCCTGTGACTTGAGGGACATGGTGTGAGACACCCCCTCAGCTCTGGTGGCAAATCAGCCTGAAGTGCTGAGCCACAGGGCATCACTGGGGCACAGAAGTGCCAGGGAGGCTATGCACCACTGCCGGAGCCTGAGGGAAGCTCTGTCTGCAACAGGGTCTGTGCTCCCCAAATTACACAGTACATCTCCCCTCAAGATAAGCCTTGTGCACAAAGAGCTGTGTACAAAAGCTCCTAAAGGAACAATGTAGTCTGGCTCTGTCTTCTAGGGAAGTTGGGCCCTCCCAGCTATAATGGCCTAACAGGGGGAGGTGACTCTCTCACACCCTCCCTGAGGAAGCCTGACCAGGTCATTGTGGTGAGCCAATTTGCAAAAAGGTCCAGAGCTCCAGAACTTCAGGGAGTCACCGTCATACTTTCAGAAAGTAAGACAGTGTATAGATGGGTTCCAGCCAGGTGAGGTTGCACCTGCTGAGTTAAATAAAGGTTGACAGGTAAGTGAGGATTAAGGACTGGTAACCAGGAATGCACATGGTGAAGGTTGGGAAGTGTTACTCAGATCACAGCTGTCACCAGTCCCTTGCACAGGGAGCCAGAGGCCTGTCCCCTGGCTTGCAGGGTGAAGAGAAGTCAGAGCCCCAGAGGCAACTGCCCAACTGCCCCCAAAGCTATCTATCCTCATGGCCAAATCTAAAATCCAGATTTGGATTTTACCTAAATGTCTTGAAACAAAGTGTATTATAATAGTTACAGAAGAAGAGTTATACCTGGGTGACCACTCCCAGTTTTCACTCTAAGAGCTGAATCCCAGCTTTGCTGGAGCTCAGGGTGCCCACCTACAGATGGCAGAGGCAGAGATGAAGCAAGGGACCCACAGTCCAGGCACTAGGACTCTTTGTAGCTGGAAGTGGCTTTGAGCTGTCCAAAACTTGCCAATGTGTATACAGAAGGCAGCCACCTCCAGCCCCCAGAGAGGTCCATGATGAGCAGTGATGAACAGTCCCTAAGGTGACCCCAATAAATGCTGCCTCCTGGTGTTCAAGCCTTGAGGGGCCCTCTTCTAACTGATGGAGTCCGGCAGAAGAGGGAAGCCACGCCACAAGAGCCACAGCCCTCCTGGCCTGGAAAAAGTCTGGTGCCAAGTTGTGCCAGGCCTATGGAAGAAGCCACCAGCAGGGGTCTGCTAGCAGCCTCGGGAGCTGAGAGTGGCCCCCAGGCTGCAGCAGGCAGGCGAGGACTCCCCAGCACCGGCAGAGAAGCCCTCGTGACACCTGGAGTGCACCCTCTGTGGGATGTTCTGGGGGAGGAGGGGGCTTCTCTGAGCAGTTCTCTAGGCACAGCATCCAGGAAGACCCTCAGACGCACCCTGGGGGCATCCTCTGTAGAGACATTCTGGGGGTGGGGAGGCATCGTTGGGAATGTCTTCTGGAAGGGGCATCTTCTCGGGGCACCCTCCAGCAGGATGAAACCTCCAGGGGAACATCATAGGCTTGGACACTGGAGGGGTTGGGTATCCTGGGAGGGGCTGGGCGACACGCTCCCGAGGTCATCCTCCTAGGTGGGCATCACGTGCGTGGGGCACTCTCCGCGGCGCATCCTCCCGGGAACGTCCTCCTAGGTGGCTTCCTCCGCGCGGGCATCCACCGGGGACATCGCGGTGGGACGCCGGGGCCGTGAAGGGCGGGGCCTGGAGCCTCTCCCCGCGCCGCGCCCCGCCCCCGCCCGCGCGCCCCGCGCGCCCCGCCCCCACGCTTCCTCCGCTTTCACTTTCGCTTCCGCCAGAGCCGGGTCCCTCCGGCGCCGGAGCATGGACGACCCCGACTGCGATTCTACTTGGGAGGACGAGGATGAGGACGGCGACGGGGATGGCGACGGCGACGACGAAGCCGCCTGCGCGGGGGACGCGGAGGACGAGGACAAGGATGAGGGCGCGAGGCAGACGCGGCCCAGCGCGCTCCAGGTGCGGGCACCAGGCCGGGCTTCTACGTGGGAAGCCTCCTGTTCCCGGGCGGCCTGCAGTCCTGGGGACCCCTCCTCTGCCCCGCACGGGCCCTCACGAGGAAATGCACTGGCCGGCCGGGCCGCGCGTGGGTGGGAGACGTCATAGTAGCGTCGCCGGGACGGTGTCCGTGCGGGGGTGACGTCAGAGCCGAGTCCCCGGGACCGTATCCGCGCGTGGGTGACATTTTCTCGGGGGATGCCTGGACATACCCTGACCTCCTACTGGGTCACATGCCACCTCCTCCAGTCCCCATGGCTGCGGTCTAGTTACATCCCAGCCCTCGCGCCTCTGCTCACCAGTGCTTTGGCCTGCGGCCTTAGCGAGCGTTCTGCTGCGCCCCTGCCCCCCACGCTGCCTCTCAGGCCCGCCAGCCCCCGAAGTCAGCCCGGGGGTAGGGGGGTGCAGGAGCCACTCAGACATCCTGGGCACGGTCCTGGGGCTTCCTTTAGGTGTTTGCCAACCGCAGTCCGCTGAGGGTTACTTTTGTTACCAGCAGGTACTCTTCATTGCCGTGGGTTACTTTTGTTGCCAGTAGTGATTTGCCAGCTTTGTGGCAGCTGCGGAGACCGGGAAAGGGTGTAGAACTCAGGCTGTTGTCTCCAGGAATGCTGGTTTGGGGTGTAGGCCTTAGTGTGGGGAGTGGTCAGTGAGAGTGACCTGAGGGGCGGGGGCCTGCTAGAATGCCAGTGCTGTCCTCTCTTCAGCACTTCTGCAGTTCTGGTCACCAAGTGCACACAGGGAGGCAGGAGGGATGGAGGTTGGGCTCAGGAGCCTGGAGGCTGGGAGGGATCTGGCTCTGCCTCCAGCACCATGAGCCCCCTCGGGTGGGCTCTGACAGAAATGACTGTCCCAGCTCAAGCCCACATGCCTTGAACAGTGTTCAGGCACCTCAACCAACCTGTGAGGTGCCTGCGGCCTCTAACCTTTTCCCTTCTGCCTGCTGCCACAACTTCTCTTCCCATGACTCCTACTTCCCCTGCAGACTCCTCAGCCCTCCAGTTGTGGGCGGACCCTGGCAAGGTTGTTTGACTTCATCCTGGGCCTGAGGTGTGTGCAGCCAGCACCCATTCAGAGCCCTTCCTCTTGCTTTAACTGACCCTGGCAGGCACCCACTAGCCCCAGGGAGAAGGGGAAGTAGAACTGGTAGAGGGCTGAGCCAGCTCCTCGGTTTCGGTTTCCATCCACTGGCCCTCAGCTGGGCAAGAGAACCTCACCTTCTGGTCCTGGTTTAGAAATAGTTCAGAGCAAAGTATCACAAGAATGGAAGAAAAAGTATCCAGTGTACACACCCCTATTATGAAACTAATTTATACGAAAGCTAATAACAGCCTAAGAATACGAGGAGGAGGGAGGGAGGGAGAGGGGAGGGGGTAATGGGTGGAGGGAGGGAGATTGGAGGAATCACTTCTGAGGTTTATCTTACAAGGGTATAAGTGAATCTTTCTAAGAGTAGAATGTGAA